TCAAATTAAAATGACAGATGCCACGAGGTTTTTGACACGCGCAATCTGGTCGTCCGACATGTTTTAAACGTATTTTAAACAGAAACAGTGTTAATTACCAATAGGGTCGAGTTTCGCTTACGCGCAAATTATGCGTTTTCCCTAATTCCCATAAACTGGCAATACGTACCATAACACCTACAATGAATAAAATCTGAAGAAAAAATGACTTGTCATTTACTACTCTCGTTTAATGCCTTTCCTGTATCCTTCACTTTTGCAGTTGGAGTCTTCTCAAAATGTATAATGATAACACAATGTGTCGTTTGGAGTTGTTTTTTTCCCCTTCAGCGAATTTCCCTCCATTGCCATAAGGTAATGCATCCTTTTACGTCTTTGAAACGTTCTTTTGCAATCGGTTGCAACAAGTTGGTCGACAACCCAACACAGGGAGGAATGCCTTCTGCCCTGAAAAAAACGCGCTGCACGCAAAGCGAAATGAGTCGCTTTTTCCACCAGTCATTTGTGTGGTCGGGTATTAGTGAATCCTTCTGGCACCATGGCACCCATGCCGTCTTCATGAACGGCACAGATCTACCTGGAGGATCTGGTTAGTATTTTTAAGACTAACACTAACAGTTGTAATCTGCCACAATTAACAAAGTAACATTTAAGACATTTGGGGAGGAGCACTAATGATTTGGTGTCAGATGTAAGAGTGGTTAAACTCCTTCTCTAGCGCTCCGGGGAAATTCTGTCTAAAACGTAGCTGTTGAGAAATCAACAAAGCGCAGCCACGAAGGATGTGTATATTTGAGGGTGCGCAGCTCTCACACGCCTAACACACTTGCACTGAGAGAGACGATTCACGGCGCTCGGAAGCCGGAGCAGTAAATCTCTCAGCTGAGTTCCCAGCACAGTAGGTGTGGGATTTACATAACTCCTCCCGCTGGTTGATAGCGATCTGACGGGCTCAAAGTCCTGTTGTTGACTAGGCTGGAGAGCGATCACAAAGATCGGAGATCTGAAATTGGTGCGGCGCTTCACTAACCTGGACAACCGTATAAATTCGGACTTTAACCTCGGTTTCCCTTCTTGTCCTTTAGCTACACGATGAAGTAAGTTTGTTTTCTTTATATTCAACTTTATTTAGAAGAATGGAATTATTTTGATATACGCATGTTGCAGAAGTCTAGTCGGAGAAAGGCATTATCTACAGTACAACTCAATACTTAATCTAGCGCGTCTGACATACAGCGAAACGCAAATACCTTTAGGTATTTGGATGCCAAAAGATCACAGAATTAAAACATACCTGCCTACCACAGTACCATGCCTGCTCCTTTGCTACCGTAAATATCGAACCTTGTGTAGAAAGAAGTTGTGGCGTTATCGCATCCATAGAGTTACATTATTGAGTTAAGGAGTCCAGAATTTTTTATAAAGTATGTAATTTTCGAGTACTCGATGGGCATGTACAGGTATGTACTGTATATACCTGCCTTGATTGCTCTTTTGCTGTTGATAAAGTTATTGCATTGGCAATAATTTTAATTTAGCAGGGAGGTCTGTGCGCTACAGCCCCGGAGTTCCCGCAGGTTGCTAAATATGAAAAACTTCGGTTTCCGGCGAATAATAATAATAATTAGAGGCACGAATGCAAAACGTACTCTAGTTTCATGAAGAATTCTCTTGATTTTGATAGATTTTTGGTCACAGCGAATTTACGTAAAGAGGTACTATGACCCTGAGGATTTGACCACTTCAGTCCAGTTTTCTAATGAATTTTGAATATAAATACAATCGGAATATAGTAACTACCTGGGACTGAGTGAACGAGCAACCCGACACATGAGACAGGTTAATGTTTGCCTGCTAAATGTTCAGCGTTATGTCTATTAGTAGTTTGTATAAATTAATGAATAAACAAATTTAATAGTTAAAAAGAAGTTATTAAGCGACTGAACACCGCGGCCCTGACCGCACACGAACAGGCGGGGACAGGCGCAACGCTCCGATTGACTGGCTCCGAAACCTGTTGGGTAACATTCTGAAAACCGCTCGAATACCTCGACTTCTCGCTCTCATGCTGTTTTCATAGTGTCTGGTTTGAACCAGTGCTTGGTGCTTACCGAGCGCTTGAAATTGGGTGCTCTCAAGTACAAAGTTTCGTTCTGTAATCGCCACGAACTCAGTCACATCTCCTTTCACTTTATTCCCAGAACTTCCTGTGCATGAGGTTACTCAACAGATTTGAGGTTAACACTAAAGTCTTTCCGTAATTTTGTATGATTTTAACTTTTAAATAGAAAGATTAACTTGAAGGGAACCCAGCACTGTGGTCAGAGGTTGCCGTTGTTGTGGTTGTCCTCTGTAAATAGCGCCTGGTTAATATTTAACCTGTCGGTTCTGTGTTTGTGTTTCTCTAGTGATCTAACACCCCCTATTCGAACTAATATCTTGCATTGAGGCACTCAATGTCCAATAGACCAGTGATTAAAGGGTGGAGTTCGTATATGGTGTGATTATAAACTGTACAAATATTGCAATTACAAGTGATTACAGTTCACTGTGAGTAGCCAGGAATTTTTTTTTTGAAAAATCAAATGAAACTTGCATGGACATAACAATGTGTTCACTAATTCCTATTACAGGTCATACTGACAACAATATTCAGTGGCCTGCTTATTGATATTTTGAGTGTTTCTGTGATTGTCTCTAGTACTGGGGTTATAATAACAGTCATTGTGTTGTGTGGTGTCAGGACAGAGGTTGTTGGGAAAAATGAGATTGACCTTGTCAAAGCACTGCTTCATTGCTTAAATAATCCTGGTGAACATTGATAATTCAGAATTAGCTGGAGTAAATACTTAAGAACGTAACAATGGTTACCAACGATATCCAGCCCATCTAGCCCATTCGCTAGTTAGTGCTTAATTGATCTGTGAATCTCATCCATTTTAAGCCATTTACTAAAAGAAACCAGGGTATCAGCTTTAACCACACATCTGGGTAACTTGTTCCATACTCCTACAACCCTTTGTGAAAAGGATTAGCCTCCCGCTCTAAGTTTTAAAAGCACTTCCACGCATTTTCCTCTTGTGACCTCTGGTTAGTGTTTCAAGGTTCATTTATAAGACGTCCTCTGGTCTGTCTCTGTCAGAGCCTTTGTGAATACTTGTATCAGGTCCCCTCGGAGTTGTTCCTGTTCCAGACTAAAGAGATCCCATTCCTTCAGCCTGCCAGTGTAGGAGCAGAAATGGAATGGAAAAGCCAAGGCTGATGCCTCATCTAGGTAGTAAAGAGAAAGGAATGTAGGGGGACAGAGGAGACTGGGGTTGAGGCAGAGCCTGCTGACAGTACAAAGGAAGAGAGAGAAATCGAATACTCAGGTATGTCGCAACTGTCCTCTTTACAGGAACTGTATGAGGCACAAGAGCTTCACAGTTAGGCAATTTATTACCATCCAGATCTTCCAAAAAACATGTTCTTTTTGTGGAAGTAAGATTT